AAAAAAGTGAAGGGCATGAAAATTGAGCGACCCAAGTCACATTGTGACCTTGGGTCGCGACCTGTATAGTGTAGAAAAATGGGACACTTGTCCCATTTTGATTGAATAAGTGTATTTTTTTAAAAAAAAAAAAATATTAAAATTCGTATTTTTTCATTCTCTATAAATAGCGACCACACTTGATATATTTTGAAATAAAATTATAATTTTTAAATAAATTAAATTAAAATAAATATTGAGGTTGTGTTGGGTTGGGGATAAAGATTAATTAGGTTGGAAAATTGAGTTGTGTATGTGGAGGAGAGAGAAATATTTTTTATTTATTAAGTTGGGGATAAGGATGGTGCATATTAATTAAAGACGGCCGGAGAAAACAAACTAGTATAAAAACAAGTTTTTTATGCATACGAAAAACGAAAAAGGGTCTCGGCGCTTGGCTTTCAGCATCATCACCAGCTCCTCTCGACCTACATTGGAGGAGGCAATCGAGGTGGACACACGTTAATCGCTGGAAAAATTGGGTTTTTTATTAAACTGCTTATCCTTCTCACGAGCCCATCAAACTCTTCTTTTTTCTCTGTAACACCTTTTGCAGCTTATTAAGATTAGGAGTTGCGCCTGAAAGCAACGTCGATTTGCATTTAGGTAAGCTTTGCTCATGTGGGTTTTGCATATTTTCAATGGGCCGCGAGCGCTTTTTCTTGTTCTTATTTGCTTCTTTCTGAATTGAAGATTTGTGGGTTGGTGTAAACATTGGGTCTTTTTATTCTTATTTTGTCTTTGAATGAGTTCCACGGATATGTATTGATGAAAGTTGGTGCGATTGTTTTTTTTTTTTTTGAGTTTCTTGCATTGGGAAATCTTTTGTTGAGTGGAAAGGCTCTAGCTTTAGGATTTTTGTTTCATTTTATTTTTATTTTTGTTGGTTTGGGTTTTTGTTCCATATTGGGTAAAGAATCAGGATGTGTTCATGATAGTTATTTCGTGATTTTTAGCTGTTAATTAGAATTTTGTTGGTGGTTTCACTTTTCAGATTTTTTGTTTAGAGATAGGGAATTATATAGGTTGGGGAAAAACTGGCGATCTTGCACAATTTAACTTAAGTTTTGCTTTCTCTGTTAAGTTTCGAACTCACTTGTTATTTATTGAATGGGTTTAACCGTTCAATGACATTGATCTCTTCGATCAGAATCCCACGTGTTGTTTGCTTATGAAACTTGTATCGATCAAATAAATGCATTTGATACTCAAAATAAATCTGTACTCGTAGAATTCATCCGTTGTGATTACCAATGCTCGTTTTTTTTCCTGATTTATCCTTGTGCCCCCCCTTTAAACGGTTGTTGGTTGTTTGATGTGTCGAAGAATGTGGAAAATCGCCCATCGCCCATATATATAATTCTCGAATGCGTTGAGCTTAAGTGGCAGGCTCGTGTGCTTCGTAAGCTTATTTGATATAATTTGGTGCTTCATATTGACACATGTTCAGGTTTGGTTTTGACTATTAGGTTTGGGAATTACCTTAAAGTGTTGAAGCTTTCATTTTTCCTTAAGTTACCATATACTACTCTTACCTTTTTTTATTTAATTCATATATTAATTATTATAAATATGTAATTTCTTTCTTTTTAAAAATTTATAAATTTTTTATTTGTATTTTATTTTTTATATAGCATCTACCAAAATAATCATATTTAAACGATCTTCGATTTGACATCCGTATTGTATATATAAAATAAAAAAAACAATTTCATCTATATCTATAATAAAAAATCAATTTTATTATCAACTCAATTTAAAAAACATTTTATAACAATATAAATTATTTTATAAAAATATTAAAAATCTAATTCATTATACACCATAAAATAATCATTTTATTGTTTTTTCCATAAACTTTGGATAAAATTACATAAAATAAATTTTAAGAAATTATAAAATATGATTTCTCAATTAAATAGATTATATAAAAATTTTAATGTTTTTATGTTATTTAAAATAGTAAATATAAAATAATATCATAGTTAAATATAATAAAATAATTTTGTATTTCATAAAGTTGGAAAATAATGCATTTCTACGTAAATTCTAAATTAGTAATTATATGAATTTAAAATACTTAAAAAATTAATAAACGTGAGTCATTGACTCTATAAATATGAATATAATCACAATACAAGAAAATTTGTTTTGTTTGAA